TGGTGGGTGGATTTTATCAGAATAGGTAGTGCTGATCTGTATCGCTCAGCCACACCAAGGTTATACAAAGAGCAGCAAAACCCCAGGAGCATAACAGTAGGTCTGCTTTTAACCTCAACTTTTATCTCTCACAGCCAGCTTCCTTCCCACACCACAACTACCACGTGTTATTTTACACCGAGGCAACACTCAGCAACTGAGGTCTGTCTGTCCATGGAATGGAAAGGGAAAAGTCAGATGACAGGAACACCAGATGTGTGGGCAACATGAGGACTAACAATTATGGAGCAGTGTGCTTACAAACCAGTACTAAACTGCTATGTGTGGCCTTCTTTGAGCTTTGGCATGGTGGGGCTGGGTTTTCCTCAGTCCCCTCTTTTTGTCTCATTTAGGTGATGAGAAGTGAATACAGTTGAAAACTGCTGGATGAAATGAGAGAAAGCTGAAGAAATCAGGGGGTGATAGCACCTGGTTCAATCTCCAGAGGGTACCCATGGCTAAAACCAGTGCCGCCCTATGCCCCGAGAGGATATATTTGCGGTACCTGGGGAGTGGTAGCAGCTCCCTCACTAAAAGGTCACTTCACTCCCCTCCTCATCTGAAATTTGCTTAACCCTGCAGATATGTAGGGAAACTGATTATACACTTTTATGCACTTCCTGAAAATCATCTCTATAAGGGGAAGAGCGGTGCTTATTGCAGTTCACGAAGAATAAGGCCTTCTAAAGCCTTTGGCGGGAGATAAGTCCTTGATCATATGTGCCTGAAAAACAAAGAGGAAACAAGGGAAGACCTAAAGCCCAAGGCCATACATCTGCGTGAGTGAGAATGCGTTAGTGTTTGCTTTGAATTACTTGTAGACATGGCAGACGCTTACTTTTCAAGTGTTTCACACTCAAAGTGCTACAGAAATTGAAGCAGTATTTCTCACTCTTCATCTCCCTGATCTGCAACATAAAATAATGAACTGTTTTAAAAACATGAGATAGAGTAGGCAAAAAAAAACCAAAAACCAAAAAACAACAAAAAAAAACCAACAATACTGAGACAGCTGCACAGACCAACAGCTGTGACACACACAGGAAATTTGGATGGAAAGAACCATTAGTGCATTGAGACCATCTCCTCTCCTGTTAGCAGGGCCAGCCCCCTTCTATCAGACTTTGCAAAAGCAGCTAGTTCATGTCAGGTATTATATAAGTGATTCAGATTTTGTGCTTCTTTAGTAGACTCTCAAGGAAAAAGCCTTTTCAGAGATCAGTTTCTGCCTCACCTTTTCTTGTGTCCATTGTGCAACAGACAGGCCTATTCTCTGTATTTAAGAAACTACTCAGATTACCATTTTGTGTTGTACTATCCAAATAATTATGTTCTTTTGTTGTTCTACAGCAGATTCAATTGCATGACAAAGTCCACAGTAGGATAGGTACATGATGACTGGGGGCAGCTATTTTGCAACCAATCCAACCAATGAATGATTGATGTGTGTCTTAAATGTTAGAGAAAGTGAATAGCTGGCAAGACTGTATTCATGCCTATTGGTCAGAGAACTCATCTCCCATTAAGCCTCAAATATTATAGATTTGTTTTGCAGACCATATGCTAATCCTTTCAGCTCCTTAGGAACAGAGAGTATTACACAGATGATAAACACAAGCTCAAATTTTAGAGATTGCGTGGCAAGACTGCACTGTGGTCATCCTGATTTCTCACTGATAAGCTGACCAATTTCAAATAATTTCCAGTGATAACATCCAAAATAAACGTTCCATGTGTACTTGGGTATATCTCATGGCCAGTCAGTGTCCAAAATTATTAAATGAATCTATCCAAAATTAAAAATGTTTATGTTACTACAAACTATTAAAGATACTTGATGAAGTGTGGGTTTTTTGGTTGTTTGTTTTTATAGGACTTTTCTTTTTCTTTTCTTTTTTTTTTTTTTTAAGAGCGTTAGCTAGAAAACTCTTTTTGCACTGACGGAATAAGAGATCTGAAGTATTGTCTGGCTCTTAAGCACAGACTGTTGTCTTCCGCATCTTGCCAAACACAGAAAACCATGTGTTTTCTGTCAGAGTTCCACAGCAAACCATGTGGAAAACAAAGGGCTATAAATAACTCCTCAACATGAAAGGTGACTAATCTGCTGCTTCCAATAGTATCACCCCCCACTCTACAAAATCCCCAAATTTTCTTTACCTATCTTTGTGTTGAAGCCACACTGTGGCACTCTTCTCTTTAGAGATCTCATGCTACTTGTTGCTCTTTCAATCCTCAGTGCTTGCAAAAATGCTACTTTAATTTGTGGAAAGGTAGATTTCATAAAAGAGAATGTAATTGTAAATGCTAGCTTTGGAGAGTGTGATCCAGTGCTTGAGGTCTTCTTTCTAATCCAGGGTACTGGTTTAATTTACTATTTCCTCAGCTGATTAACTGGTTATTTGCATTCCCTATGCCTTTATTTCCCCTGTCAGACATGGGAGGGGGTGGGGAAATGCATATTCAGTGCCTTGTTTGAAATAATATAATGCATCTAAAAAAGAGTAAAATGTTATCCGTTGATAACAAAATACAATATAAGCACTAAATGCTACCACCACAAAGCAAAGAGTCAGCTGCAACTGTGTTACAGAGCTTAAAATCCATACAGGTCTGGAAAAATAAGCAGGGAAGGATTTCCTCCAGCTGTCTCTTCTGTCACTCACCCTCTATCAGCTAGGAGACATGGATCACCCACTCCTTCTTGAATCTGCCCAACGTTTAATGGAAATATGGTGCCAAAACCAGTGTTGTCTTTACTAAGCATATGCTAAAGATTTCAAAAGTGTGGTTTTAACTAACCTTTTAGTGATTAATAAGTATTTTAATTTTGTGCTGTATTTTAGTGTGCTATGAGCCAAACAATGACAGTCAAACTGAACAAGAGAGATGACTTCATTTGTTGTTCAAAAATAAACTTTTCATATTACCTAAGTCACATGATTAATGGAAGTCACTTGCTGTATTTTTAAAAGTTATCTTCTTTTTCTCAACAGTAATTTTTTCAATAATTTCTATTCTTTCACTGTCACGTTTGATTTCAAGTTAAGTTAAAATCTCTTCTGGCATAGGCATCATTTCATCCTAAAGTTGTGCTCAACTACAACCAAAATAGCAATAGCAACAGTAACAATTTTGTAATGTGCTGAAACTCAATGTCGTGTCAAAAACAGCATTTCATAATTTTGGAGTAGTTTGTTATTTTGAATTTATTATGTATTTTGATTACCCCAGGGTGAGTCATAGTAGGGAAGGCTGTCAGTTGATGAAGAACTAAAATCTTTATGCTATTCCACATTTTCTTTTTGACTATGGCTTTGTCTGTTTTGTTGGCAAGCTGTAAAATAAGAAATTGGAATAGAATAGCAGAAGAATAGTATTCCACTGCAAGAAAGGTCTTTTCGTCTGTGATTTTTCCTAGATTTTTCTAACTGATGTCACAGTTTTAAATTGAATTTGTGTAAAAGATCTATAGGTGTTTTTCTTGATAAATTCATTTAAAAACTCAACATCGGAAATCTTCCCTTCATATCTAGCAATTCTATAGGGAGTTTATGCATTAGTTTACAGTGGGAAGTTATACCTCAATGGTCCATGAAAATAGGAGTCCATAAAGCACATATTTCCATATAAAAACATTAAAGATTTATGACTTGATACAGAGAAAATGTTGATAATGCTGAAGCTTTTGGCTAGCTTAATCTCTTCCTTTTCTTGTGTTTTTCCAGGCCTCTCAGACTTCCTCCCTGACATAGCTTACTCAATCGTGTCATCAGAAATCCAGGAGTCCTCTGTATTCATAATATTTCATTCCTCTGCAGTTCCTTGTCTCTGGCCATTAGTGTCTCCCTGCCTCTAAGCACGGGCCCTCCCCCACCTCTTTCTGTTCTCACCTGTGTTCTCCTGTTTTTCCATGTTGTCAAATGCTTTCCAAACCTTAGCCCATGCCTCTTTTTCCATGTACCCGCTCAAAATTGGTTTGTGGGGAGTCTGGTTACAGCACTGGAAAGCCAAAGCATAGTTCAGCTCCATATACAGGCTTGGGAATAAAGCCTGTTGTAACTAAGCACCCTAACAAAACATTTTTGCAGTGCAAATAAGTCCTCTGTGTGGGAGGCCAACTTTTTAAATGTGCAGTGTATCATTTTAAAATTCCCTTGGGGCTCTAACCTTGTAGACAGATGTCTTAAACACTGGTAATGTGTCTAAGTGACTTTTCACAGTGATCTGTCCAGACAGCATCTGCTCAGCAAAGCTGTCTTTTAGCAGACCAGTACAGGACAGCGTCAAATCTGTATTTGATATATTTCATCCTAGTCTGAATGAGGAGAACTTAGCCTGCCACATCTGAGCCACCTCTGCAGGAAGAGCTAGGACAAAAATCAGTGGCTTCATCCTGACACAAGCAGGTAACAATGAAAGGGAGGGGCCTTGTTTCTTCAGCATAAATAACATTTTTATGACTCCCATATCACAAATCAGCAGCTCTGATGTCAAATTACAGTAACAAAAGAAATGAGAGATGGCATGTGTGGGAAGAAGTGTTGACAAAAGCATCTTGTACAACTTCCTCTGGGCTCCTCAGCTCTGTTATCAGAGGTGGGCAGCTGTGTAGAACAAGCCCAGCTTTAGGGGAGCAAAGTCCTAGACTGCTGAGAACCGTCCTGTGGCAATGGCAAGAAATTAGGTTGATTGATAAGCTTTCAAACTCAAGATCTATGACCCTTGCTGGGCTGCTGGCTCTGCCAGCCAGCAGATTAATTTGCTTAGCCTAAGTAAAAGCCTGGGCTGGAAAAACTGCACTGTGCACCGTTTAGAGCATCCCCCATTTCTGATAGTGCAAAATTTAAGCTTAAAAATACAAGATAGAACTAAAAATGTAAAGTTCGTTAAAGCATTTTTAGATCCTTATAATATTAATTTGGGTTTCTTGCTTTGTATTCCAGCTTTTCAATTACATCAGTTCCGTGTTTTCAGATTCTTCAAGTTGCCCTACCGTGATGACAGAAGCTTCTGAAGGAGAAAGATACTGAGATTCCACAGGAACTCATTACGCGAGAAGGTATGGCTTCTCAGAACACAGAACATCACTTACCCATAGCCACAGGAAAACATTTCTCTGCACTGGATTGCTGATACAATGAGTGTTGCATGTAAATTGCTCTGTTTGATCAAAACTTTAAGCTTCTCAGATGACTGACTAACAGTGAATGCCAGCTGAGCTTCAGTGGCTATTCTCTCTTCTATTCTTGTTCTGAATCCTCCTCCGTAATGTCTGCCAGTGGCACTCCCACTATTGTTCCAGTCCTGGGCTTCTTTGCCAGCTAGAGGAGGGAAAAAAAGGGCTTCCCCCACCTACTTTTAAGTACCTCAGATGACCTTTGCTTTAGTGGCACCTGCTTTAATGCCAGCTTCATACAGCCTCTGTCACTGTAGACAAACAAAAATGGAAAAACCCTCATCTTAAAGTATTCTTTTACCTTGGAGAATGTATTCTGTAATGCAGCATGTCAAATTCAAACATAGCAGGAGATGTTCTCCTTGGTCTTCTTAGAGAATTGTTTGTACCTGCCTACTGTGAAGTTTTGTATTGTACCCAAAGGGAGATTGCATGACTTCACCAAGAGTCTGGGATAAGACTGACTTCAAAACTACACACTTGTAGTCCTTATAAAAAGAGTGGAAAAGAATGCCTGGACTTAGAATTTGAGTGGGGCATGCTAATAATGGATCCTCCTGTATTTAAGAAGATAGACAATTTAATTCCAGCTCTTCTGGCTTTGTAGCGGATATTGTCCAGAATCACACTGTTACTGCTTTGGGGATCCCTCTGCACTCCATGCACCCTTTCATTATATGGCCTTGAAATGTAACACCTTTTCCATGCCACATCTTAGAATGTAAACACAAATCTTACAGCCCTGACAAGTGATTGCTGTGCCACTGAAAGGATATGTACCACTGTGTAGTTTGGAGCTGACAGCATAGGTCTCACTATTTGCAGTAGCTGAGACTGTGAATCTTGGCACTATGAGTCTCACTGTGGAGGGATGCAGACCTCATTTGGTGAGGAGAAAAAAAGTGTGAGTCTTGGTATTTATGTCTGCAACACTAATACTGAAACATCCTTATTGAGCTACAGCCTCTTGAGATGTATCCTGTATACATGAAGAATCTGTTAGATTGAAAAAATTACGGTACAGTGATTTTCATTTCTGAACACTGAAGGATATCAGAAAAAAACATCCTTCATGTTTAGAACACAACAATATAATTACTTTTATATATAACATAAGGAGTGTGTATCACACACATACTGATACACTACACTGTGGCCTCATTATTTAAGTCTGAAGCCTTAGCAAGGAACAAACTCATGCCGGTCTTCTGCTTAAATCTACCTTCTGCTAGACGTTCTAGAGCTTTGTCATTTGTTGCCATATACACAGTTTCCTTTCCTTTTCTTGCTTACATTTGTTAAGACTAGGAGGACTGTCAGTGAATTTACGTAAATTCTCTTCTTCGTATCTACCTCATTTAAGTAATCAGGCTCTGGCTGTCTTTCCTAGACCAGGCCCATTTTTCTCCTTCTTTCTCCAGCACTACACTGAAACCTGCCCAGATTAACCAGCTCTCCTGTGGTATTCCCTTTACTTCTTGCAAGTATTAATAAGCTGCAGTGAGTCAGAGTGAACTCCCAGCTGGATATTTTGTGTCTGTGCATGGGAATGGGCATAAGGCACTGGGGCTAGCAGACAAATTTGTGGTGCACACAGAGTTAATGTGCTGACAGAAACACTGAGGTTTACATCTGAAAAACCAAATGTAAAAATAATATGATGAGTAAGACTAAAATTCCCTGTTCTGAGCTTCCATGGGGCTAGCTCCCCTCCCCCACCATTCAGGCATCAGCAGTCACTTCTCCTTTTTGCTGTGCCTTGCAGAAATGTGTCCTGGGATGAGTCAGAGCAGGACTTCCAGGCAGTAGCATTACTGCATTTGGCTCCCATCAAAAATGCCTACTGCCAGGGCCTTCCACATACTCAGAGAGATCTCCTTCTGATTTGCTTGTTTCTCCCTGACACTCTGTTTTTCTGAACCAGGGGACTGTTGAAGATATGAGCCTCACAAGTAGATCAGGTGGCTCAAGGTTTTACCTTCAGGAGACACCACAGCAACCCTGCCCATCTCTTCCTGGGCCTGACCATTCTACTTTAAAATTCTTTCTGCCCTATCCACATTTATAATCTCTCCAACTTTTTCTGCTTGTCCATGTCCCATTTGTCATTGTTTAGCATTTACTCTTATACATATGCTCCTACCAGGTATTTTATGTGCTCTCTCCACATAGTTTTGCTGAGCTGTGGTACCTCCCTTGCAGTTAGAACACACCATTCATGTTCCATCCTTTTTCAAAGAGAACAATGAGAAAAAAAATGTTAAAAAATGTCCTGGGAACAGAGTGTAGAGAGCACACTTAGGTGTAAGGAAGCGTGAATTTAGTAAGCCACTCCAATTCTTTTATCAGCAAATTCTGTGGTGAAAAATCAGCCGCTCAAAATGTCTTCCAAGGAGAGGCCATCTCTAGTGCTGGCTGGGGAGCCAGACTGCCTTTGAGCTCTCCTTAACTAAGAGCTTGCAAGGTTTTCATGAGACACCCAGGGCCTTGCTCCCTCTGAGGCTGTTCCTGACATTCTCCCACAGCCCCAGAGCTTTGGAGATGGGGAGGGGGGAGGCTGACACCTTCCCCTGCTTGATCTGCTTAAGGTTGGGGCTTACACAACTGCTCTCTGTCGTGTGAGGCAACCACGGTACAGCCATATCAGCCTCTCTCCCGAGCCCAGGCTGTGCACGAAGCCCTGGCGACAGCACGCTCTGAGCAGTGAACTGCAATGGCAGCGCCGGGTTGTTACCAGGCATCGTGGTAGGATGCCGTGTCACTCCCTGCTGCATTTGGAGATTTTATGAAGGCCACTCGTGTGTTATTATCCTTGGGTGTAATTGCTTATGTTCAGTAGCTCTGTAATAGATCAGATGCTGTATATCTTCTCTGCCCCGATGATGGTGAAATCCTGATTTTCCCGCTGAAAGCCGTTTCGTTTCAAACCCTGAAAGGAAAACGGGGAGTTGGTGCAGGGCCGGCCGCCTCATTCTGAAGGCAGGTGGCACCTCCCTGCGGTGTCTCTGAAGAATTACAGCTTTCGCAAGATCGCCACTTTCCCCAATACGGTATCAAGCTGCTCTTGAGCAATTTCGAGCTGCCAAACTCCAGAAGTCTCAAGAACCAAGCAGACGTGCGAGAGTAACTGATTCTGCATTTCTCCTTTCATAATTATTCCATCAGTCTTTCACCCTGAGTGCTCCAGACTTTTTTTTTCTTTCTCTGATTGTTGATCCAGCTGATGAGGTATGCTTGTGATTGAATTAAACTCATTATCGACCTGACACGCATTACTAATTCTAATATTTAGCTTTGATTGTGCAATAACACGTCAAGTAGTTGTGTTTTTCATTCAAGTTGTCTGCAGCAATTATCATTTTTCAGTAAATAATTTTTCATTAAAAATATACTTGCCCAATGTATGGGACTAGCTCTACTGACATCTCCTGGCTTTTGTGATGCATACCATGCTAGCCTTTGGAGATTGCACGAGGTGTACCCCGTGCCTCTGCCTTCACTTCATGCCAGTGAGCTGCAGGGACTTCACATCTTTTTTTCTGGATAGTTGCTTTTGTTCCACCCATACAGTGCCCCACTCCCGCAAAAAGCCACAAGGAACCACAGACTTCAGCACAGGTAAGTGCTGGGGACCCCCAGGTATAAATGTCAGAGCGGCAAGAACAGGTTACAGGTCAGAAAGGAGGAGAACTGGGTGCATGCTGGATAGTTTTGTAGTCTGCCATTATAAATGACTTGTGTTTTTTCTTCTCAGATGAGAACACTGAAAATTAAGAATACACAAACCTAAAGTCACTTTTGGAGAAATGAGGATGAAGAGGTTCTGCAGCACAGGGAAGGTGAGAGGAGGCCCCTGCGCCTGGCTCCTGTTGCCTCATCACTGTTGTAACAAAATCCCAGCTCTTGGCCCCAGCCCATCGGACTCTGGCTGAGCCACACTGATCTCTGCCTGCTCCCAAAACGTCACTGCATATGAGAATTCAGCCACCAGATGTGGGAAAGCTCCATTCGATGCACAGCATGGTAGCTGCTGCCGCTTAGTGGCATGAGCTACTGACTGCACATTTCATCCACTGTGCTCCCTGTCTTGGCTTATGGCAGGATACGAACTGAGACTGAAATCCTGCATTCCCGAACCCAGAATACCGCTATGGATCCCAATACCCCCAAATTCTCAGTGTGGCTCAGTTCACCTAGGAAAACAACGGTGACCGTCACAGATACGATCCGGCCGCACAGGGAGCTGTGCTTTGGGAGACAGTTGTTGAGGCTATGGGAAGCGTCTGTGAAACACAGGAACCACAACTGCAGAACCAAATGCCAACTATTTTTCCTATGAAGATTTGCTTTCAGAGTTCAGTGCCCACTATGATCCTTCTGCTTGCAAGTGAAAAAGATAAAACTTCTCAAACTGCCTTTTCAACACATCCGTGTAAGGCTGTGTTCCCCATGCATGACTGCAGAAGCAGCTCAGCTGGCACAGGCTGCTGATGGCTGCCTTCATTCCTAAGTGCTGTTCCACAGCGTGATATTGGGGTGATGTAATGGACTCGGGCGGGACTGCAGGCAGGAGCAGCAGCATCCACCGTGTCTCCGTGAGGAACGGGATTTTCTCTGGAATACAGTGAGAAGCAAGTTCTGCATCTCAGAAAAAAATGGTAAGGGATGGAACAGAAAGGTATGTTAGTGTATTTTGGATAGCGTATTGGAAACTATAGCTCCAAGCTAGCTCAGCCTTGTAGAAAAGTAAATCTTTGTTCTCTGCTGACCTAGTTTCTGGAGCACTTGCAGCTTCTGCAGATCAGTGTAATAACCACAGATATTCTTCATCATTAACAGTCGGCAGCTGGGCTTGCAGAGCCCTGGTGTTACAGAGCCACAGAAAGGCTGTCAGGCAGTCACCTGCTTAGAAATCTGCTGAGAGTCAGGGATGTTGTATTTGTTAGAATCTTTTAGTGGGTAAGTCCTAGAGGGGCTGCCATACTTTTCTCCACTGTAGCATTATCCAGAAGCTCTGCCCAAGCCCAGGTTCCCACCGCGCTCATTGTTAAATATCTGCAGCCCAAGGAATTTATAATCCGTTTAAACAAATCAAATCCCTGCGGGCACATTCCCAAACGCCAGCTCTCCCGCACCACGCGGTTCTTTTCTGACTAGCTGGCAGCACGCCGGTGCCGTTTCTTCCTTGCATTTTCCCCTACAGAAGTAAAAAGCTCCCCAGCTCTGCTATCCCCACGAGACGGTGCGGCGAGGGTCCCTCGGCAGGGCCCTTACACCGGGTCCGGCTGGGCGCCGCACGTCGGGAAGCCGCAGCCCCATCCCGCCCCGAGCCTCGCTTCCCGCCCCGCCGGGCCGCCCGGTGCCGGCACTCAGGCGGCAGGAAGCGCTCCCGACGCCGCCCCCCTCGGTGGTGGCCGGAAGCGCGCGCGGCGTGTCCCCGCCGGGGCGGCGGCGCTGGTGCCGAGGAGGCCGGGACCGACGTGGCCGGCCGGGGGAGGCGGGGCCGAGGGGCCGCCGGGCGGGGCAGGCCCGCGCCGAGCAGCGGCTGGATGGCAGCGTCCGCACGGGGCACGGCGGCGCTCGGTAACCACGGGCGCGGGGAGGGCGAGCGCAGTTACGGGCGGCGGTGGGATGGGGTAAGCAGGGGCGGCCGCGCCGCATTTGGTACCGGCGGGGCTCGGCCGATGGGCACGGGTGGTGGATAGCGCCCGGCCGGGCCCGGGTTCCGCGCCGCCGTCAGCTTCGGTCCGGTCCCCGTATCGCTCCGGTTCGACTCGGCTTCGTCACGTGTGCGGCCGTGTGGCCGTCGCGGTGCCGGGAGTCGAGCCCCGGCGGGAGGAGGCGGGCAAAGTTTGAGAAGTAACTCCGGTCGCGAGTCTGCGCTGCGGCGCGCTCGGTTCCGCGGGGAGCGCCGCGCGGGGCGGCCGGGGGCTTTGCGCGGCCCCGGGGAGCCCGAGGGGCCCGGCCGATGAGTACAGAGAGAGGGCTGGCTGCCCCCCCGCAGTTCTGTCTCGTTCTGCGTTTGTCAGCATTCCTCTGATGGAAAAACAGAGCCCGCCCCCCCGGGAGCCGGCGCGACGTCGATGGGAACGGCGGCGAGAGCGGGGCCGGGTCACCGCCCGCGGGGCAGAGCGGTGGGGCCGCGCGGAGGCAGGCGATGTGCGGCGGGGAGCGGGCGGGGGGCAGAGCCCCTATCCCAACCCGAGCGGTGAGCGGGGCTGCGCCTCTGCCTGCGCCTCCTTGGGGGCCGGTAGCGGTGAGGTGGGGAAGGAGCGTAAAAGCCGTGTTTTAATCGCTCGTAGGAACGGGCGAGGTGTTTGCTAGGTGTCACATCCTCCCCGTGCTGCGATACGCCATCGTTCCGAGACCTGTGCACCTCCAGATTTTAGCTGCACGTGCTCTGATGTGTCTCTGATTTGTAGAAGTAAGTCTTTGTGCCCCTTTTGGATGGGCACAAGCCCGTCAGAGCAGGGCTCGCTGCAGACTGCCAGTGACTGGGAGGGAAGGGAGTGCTCCGGACACCGGGTGTGCGGGGTCAGGGCTTCCAGCAGTTCAGAGCTCTCCACGGGGCTGATGCAGGGAGGTGGTGTGGAGATTTTTTTTTTTTTTTTTTTTGGCTGAAAGTTATGCTCCCTCCCTGGAAAATAACTATTTTTTTTTTCCCCGTACAATACTCTTTTACAATTCTAAGGCTAGGCAACTGGTTTCCAGGGAGAACAGTTGTTTATAAGAGTTGTTATAAAGAGTTTTTTTCCTTCTGCCGACATCTGAAATGTCATTGTGTGGCAGTGAGCAGTTGTACTGAGACAGAACTGCATCTGTGTGGTCCGAAAAGGCAGTGTCCATGAGAGGTTGTGGCAGCTGGACTCTTTGCTTGGTGTCTGGTCTCCCTTCCACCCACTCAGGTGTATATAAACAGCAGATTCTTGTGAATTTGTTCTTCCACAGATGGGAGAACCTCACTGGCACTCTATCTCTGAATCATGGTCAGAGTGCACGGTCAGCTCACAGACCAGCTTAGAACACAAGGTGCTGTTGGTGGCAGTGGTGAACAGGTTCTGATCTCAGCATGGCTAGGAGAGGGGATACTGATGGGGCTCTGGCAAAACTGATGAGCAAATGTTACCATGTTCGTTCTTCTCTTATGCATCTTTTTTAATAACCCATTTACCCTCCATGAGAAAAAGCACATCTCTTATTATCTTGGTTTATCTCTCCACCTCATAGTGGCTGCTGATCTCTGAGAACCCAAAACTGCTTTCTCTAGAAATTTCTCTAGACTTCCCTAGCTGGATTCCTGAAACAGATGCTGATGCCTTAAATTAGGGGTAGGTAAAAACCTTGTCCATCCTCTGCAGCTATAGTGACAGGGTATTATTTTCTCTCTTGAGCTTTTTTTGTCCTAGAACTACATCTTGATTGCTCCCTTCCTTCCCCTTAAATACATCTCAAGAGCAGACAGTTTGAATTCAGAGACTTTAGAAACAGCAAATAAACTTAATGTCTCCTGAGGAGTGTGCAGCAATGAGACTGAAAAGCAAAGGGGTTAAGAGAAAAAATCTGCTTTTTGTATGGCAGACGGTTATGATGTGTCTGGAAGAAGCAAATGCTGGAAATGTGCTCTGAATAATTAAACAAGTGCAAAGATCAGTGCAGGGTGATGCACTCTTCTTCACAGATGCTTCGTGAACATCAGGAATTTATTGCCTGAGGTATGAGGTGGTGCTGAGCCACAGGGTGATGCTGGTCAGCTGGTGCAGGTGTGGAGAAATGTACTGTTTTTCCCCTTGTTATTCACAACAGGGAAAAAGACCTGTGGGTCACAGGAGGTCAGCTGACACAAAGATAAGATAGGGCAGTTGGTTTTCAATCACTTATGACCCATGGTTATCCACCACCATCTCTCTCTGGAGATCCTCTTTGTCCTTTATGAAAAAGATGAACCCATATCTGCAGCTTGTTTTCAGAGGCCTGGATGTGCCATTTGTCATATGTCGTTGCCTCAAGCTGAGATCTCTCTGTCTCAAAAACCCTCTCAGGTGTTCCTTGGGGCAGACGTGGGCTCTGAGCAGGGAGAACTAAATGGAAGAAGTGGACCTGTTACATCAGTTGTGTTTTCTTTTCCAGATTGATTTCAAAAAGCTGTTAACTTCTTGGCAGCCATATCACAGAAGAGGCTGGTTTGTGCTGCTTTCTGTCATTGCTGAGCTGCAGAGAGCAGTTGTTGTGCTATGTGTATTCTTTGCATCTTCACACACATGGTGGTGGTACAAATCCTGACGTGTCGCAGTGGCTTTGCTCCTTGCATGGGAGCTCTTCTCAGTCATTTTCAAGGTCTAATCCTGTCATGAACGCAGTCTGGGGTTGAAAGGGATGCCTGTCATTTTTAAAGCAGGAGATTATCTAAATGCAGGTTGTTAAGCAGGTAGCTGGTAAGTGGAGAGAAGGCTGAGCCTGGCGTGATCTGCCTATTGAATCCCTGCAGCACCCTGGGCAAATGCCTCTGACTGGATGGCTTCAGTCTGTGTGATGTTCGGGACAGGAGAAAGTCTTTGGTTATTTAAATTTGTTCCTTAATGTTCAAGCCATATAATTCTAACTAATTGAGCTGATTCCACCACATGGAAGAGTTGAGCGTTTTCCTCTTTCCTTGTGACTTTTGATATAAGCAGACTGTTCTGTTCCTCCCATTGTTATCTTTTCAAGACTAAACATGCCCGGCTTCTTTGGTCTTCTTGTCCAGATCATGCTTTCTAAACTCCAGTTTTTGTTTCTATCCTTTGGAATGTCTCTGATTTTCACATCTGCTTTTATAAAGTACAGTATGTGGAGTAGGTGCAGTCTTTTAGCTAACGTGTCCCTTGTTGGGAGGAAAACAGAATCACTGCCTCTGTGTCACACAAACAATATAGCTATTAATGTGTTCCAGGATGTCATTTGCCTGCTTTGTAGCAGGCTTATCTTGCTGGCTCGGAATTAATTTCTGAATCAGTGTAATCCATGTATGCCTCTTTTTTTATTTTATTTTTTCTTTGGCATATTGGAGTTAATCTCTTGTCACGCCCATTTGTTTTATTTGTCTGCCATTTTGTACTCATCTTTGCTGAGATTGGTTTAGCAGTATGTAATAGGTAGGTCAGTATCCTCCTTCACAGAGTTGCAGGACCCTGTCCTTTAATGTTCATTTCCATTGCTCGCTGCAGCTGGGCCTTCCTCCAGCAGTGATCTAGTCCAGGGACTGAAACTGGAAAAACCTCTTGGGTGAAAAAAAAAAAAAAATCTGTTCATTTGTTTTGAACCCACTCACGGTGTCAGGTGTGAGCGTGGGCAGGGGATACTGACTGAGGGGATGTGGGACGAGGGGCAGCACTGCGGTGGTGTGAGCCCTGAGATTTGTTTTTGACATTTTGATTTTTGTCTTGATTATTTCAGGCCCCTTTCTGTTTGGCTGTTATTTAATGCCATGCTATCTTTATTCCTTTCTTATCTTGCAGGTAACTACAAACTGATCACTTAACTTGATCAAGGATCTTTCAGAGGACTGAAGTTACTGGTCTGTAACTTCTTAAGTCTCTCCTCCATCTCTGTTTTTATTTCTTCTTTTTATAAAGGTAGATGAGGCATGATGCTTCTCCAGCCTTCTGTGGCCTTTGTATATTCCTGTAAATTTTCAAAGATGCTTCAGAGATTACCGTGACTGGTTTCTTGAATGCTTTCAGGTGAATGCCATTATTTCCTCTCAGTCTACAGCTGCCATGTGAACAGTTGTTACACTGTTCTTTTCTCTTCTAACCCAGTCTGTTCTCCTGTTTGCAGACTAATTTCTCTTGTCACATTTCACTTTTTCTTCTGGAGACTGACGGAGGCATTTGTACTTCAGCCTTCGTCTCATTTGCTTTCCTTTCCTGTTTGCTTATGAGTAATTATCTTTATTTTCTTCTTCTAACAGCCCTTTTTCTTTCAAATTTTCTTGTGACTGAAGAGTCGTTAGAAACAGCTGTGCAGACTTTGATTAAGAGTCCATCTAACCCAGTATCCTTCTTGGAAGCATTAAAAATGGGGCACATATAATTGATACTTTCCAGCCTCTGGCTCCTTTCAGACTGGAATTTTTCTGAGCCTAGCGTGAGCCATCTAACCATGAACAGTCAATAGATTTATTTTCCTATTGTTTATGTCCTGTCCTGTGTTAAATCCACTTGAGAAGTGCCTGCACGCAAGTTACCTGTTAGTGAAGAATTAAATCTGCTTTTATTTTGTAGCCGACACTCACTGTCATCATGTTAGTACTTACGTTTGAAGAGACAGTCATTAATCATCTATCACTATTCCTGCTCTCTTCACCACTCATAACTTTATGAACCTCTACTTTTTAACCTGTCCCTTTTAGTTGCCTGTTTTGTCATGTGCTTGTTTTGTCACATTTTTGGTTGTCTTTTCTATACAGTAATCCCACAACTGCACGTGTCTCTTGGTTTTTGTAATTCTAATGTACTAATTCCATGATAAAAAGTACCAGAGAGAAAACTGGTACCAAAAGGCAGAGAGAAAACTAATCCTTCTAGCACCTCTGGTGAAGATCTTTCTCCAAGATATTGGAAAATTAAAGGGCAGAAATGGGGACCTGAGCGTCCAGGCCTTGTGGAGTCCTTGTCCAAAGCACTGCAACAGAGATGGTGGAAGGCAGACTCTTTCACAAGATGTCTCATGCACAGTTTCAGATGCCTGATGATAAACAGTGTTCATTATTGATATGTTGATGACAGTATTTCACGTTTCCTTGGGGGCTGGGGGAAATATAAGATGTTGAGGGACAGGGTATCATGACCAAGGCTGTTCCTCCCGGGTGGTGGGAAGGAGCCTCTTGCATGCTCTCAGAACTGCTCTCATCTGTTCTTTTCAGAGATTGGCCAGCCTGGTTGAGACCACTTAGCGATGACAAAACAAAAGCTTCTGCTTGATGGGACGTTCTCCTTGATTCTGATCGTGGCCTGTGAAGCTCAGCAACTTCCGAGGAGTCATGCTGCCACCAGTTCTGGTCCTCTGTGTGAGAAGGAGGCAGAGTCCTGGGGAAACCTGTTAAGCAGTGAGCGGCTGGATGCCTGGATCTGTTCCCTCATTGGCTCATTCATGGTGGGGCTGAGCGGGATCTTCCCTTTGCTGGTGATCCCCTTTGAGACAGGAGCTGCTCTACGGTCAGAAGGTCAGCCTGCTACCTGCATTAGCCTTACTGAAGCAATAGATCCTGGGTTATGATTGTGACAAACAGGACCTTGGATCATGCCAGTATTACAGAATTACAGTCCTCCCATATAGGCACTCCATTTCCAGTTACTTTAGGCCATACCTGTCAATTTGGTAGGGAGTCCTCTCACAAATGCAAGTCCTGGAAGGAGGCTGTACAAAGAGTATCACTTGTACACCCTGGGGAGCTGCCTAGTCCAGAACTTCCCACACACAGCTGTCCTAGCTAGGTGGTGCAAGGACTTCTTGCACTCCAGATATTTCTTTCATGCTCTCTGTTTTGAAAGCTTGGCTTGCAGATGCTTCTAATTGAGGTCTTTTTGTGCAAAAGCTCAGCTGGAAATATTTTGACTTCTAGCTGAGTCATAATTGGGTTTTGTTTATTCTTCTAGCTGGATCACGTCGTTTGAAGCAGTTGTTGAGCTTTGCAATTGGTGGACTACTGGGGAATGTGTTTCTCCATCTGCTTCCTGAAGCCTGGGCCTATACATGCAGTGCAACAGCAGGTATGAAAGCTTTAATTCCTAGAAGCTGACTATGCTGTGCCTACTACGACATTTTTGAGTCTTGAATACACAAGGCCAACCAACTGGGTCAGCCCTGGACCATAGACTGGTCTGGTATTCTGCTTTGAAAAATGTGTAAAAGCAAACGCCTAGAGAAGAGTATACAAGAATAAAAAGATGTAGTATGGTTTTTTTTTTTTTTTTTATTTAGTAACTTGTAATGGATTACTCATTCCTCAACTTTTCTCACCTTAGAATCTGTTTTTCCTTCATTTTTTCCCTGAGGAAAGGGAGTGCTTCTTATAGAAAGTAGTGCATTCATGTGGTATGCTACATGAACGTGTTTACCATCTCAGATGGTAGACATTTTGCCCTGTCAGAGCCACCTTGCCTATAAATCTATACTTATCACACAATGCTACTCCTAGAGCCTTTTACTTGGAATTGAGGCCGTTCCATTTAGTCAGTTTGAGCCCAGATGTGTTGCCCTCTCAGTCTTTGCTCCAGGAGAAGCCATGGAAAATTTACTGTAAATAGAGCCATTGATTAAGGTGGTGGCTGAAGAGTGGGGAAGGAAACAAGTTCAGCTGATGGAGACCTGTGTTGGTCAGCAAACTAAACTGTTGGGACTTGGATGGGACTTGTGGTGTCCATGTATCTCTTTCGTTCCTTGGATAGACTGGCTTGTTGAAACCTACAGGGATTGTATCTTTCTTCTTTGGCAAACATGTAATGAGAAGGCAAGCGTTACTGTGTCCAGTCAGTTGAGGAACCAAGAAATTCTCTTTGCTAAAAATGAAAAAGCAGGGGAAAAGATGTGCTGGTTTTTCCAGACTTGTTACGTCTATCTCTTGGGATTTCAGATCCTTCACAAATCTGTTAGTTCTTTGGTCCACTTATTGTTCATGGCTCTGGTACTGTTAGCAGAACCTGCTGTCCTTTTTTACTCCCTTCCTACAGTATCCCAAATATCTTCCTGCACTGGCTTGTTTGCATCTGACATTGTTCTAAAGCATGAAGGTTTCCATGACCCATATATGCCCCACTGCAGAATTGTGCTGTTCTTCCACTACAATGCAATCTCAATTTCTGCAGCCAGGCTGAATGGTTGATTATTTCAAACGCTTGGCAGTATTTGGAAAGAAAGTTTATAGCCTTGGGCTTAATAACTTGCCCAGGTGTGGCAGAAAGGCAAAGGTGAGTCTGTAGCTCTACTAATGGCAGACTTCATGTTAGGGCTTGCTTTTTCAGTAGACAGAGGTGCAGGATTTCTGTTGATGTAATCTTCTCTTGCCTCAGGGGCACAGGGAAGTTGCTAACATTATCAAGAAATGATCTGGATTGCACTACTGAGTAAAAGGGATGGAGGCTCTGTGAGAGTTCTGAGATGAAGATGTCTCTTAGATCGAGAACTAACTGATTATAAAGTTGCTTGCTATGAGATATGATTGTTCCCAACTTCTTGCAGGGACAGGTTGTTTTGTTGTTTGTTGTTTTGTTTTTCCACGTGGAAAGACACTGTTCTTGATAGTAACATGAAGATTTTTCTCTTGTTCTTTAGGAGAAGGGCAGAGCTTTCAGCAGCAGAAGCTTCTGGGTCTCTGGGTGATCATTGGTTTCTTGACTTTCCTGGCACTAGAGAAGATCTTCCTAGAGAAAGAAGAGGAGGGATGCCCTGGTGTGGTAAGTGAGCAGCCAGAGGGGAGGGTGTGCTGTTCTGTTTGGATCATGAGTCAGACATGTAAGCGCTGTACTGAACACCTCATCTGCTCTATCTGACAGGCTCAGCAAACGATCTTGGAGCTGCAAGTAGCTTATCAACAAAGCTTCTTGCTGCTTCTTTGACACCGAGTACTAGAAGTTGTTTCATTTCTGGGCTTTGGTTTTGTGGTTTTAGCTGAGATTTCTCACCTCTGGGCTGGTTTTATTCTTGATGTGGTATATGTGAAAAAGAGCTCCCCTTCTGTAGAGACTGGGAGCTGGAGTGTTCTGTGGTTGAGACATTTGCTCAGATAAGCTTTGAGGGATGACAGCTGGCTGTTGTGTTCCATTGAGCAATTGTGACTCACTCTCCTCCTGAGTTCTCAGTCAGGACAAAAACCAGCATTCTTTGGAAGACCTGAGTATGATCTGGTCCAGGCATTTATTCCGTGGAATTAACATGGTAAAAGGGATTTATAGTTGGCCAAGTCATACTATGTGGTGGTTCACACATGAGTCACCCAGCAGTAGAAGGGAAGTACTGACAAAGAAGGTCCAGGAGATAATGCCAAGATAGAGGAGAGTGGCTAGTCCTAAGCCATCTCACAGTTCTTAACAGCAGCTGTTCAGCACTTGCTGTGCCATGCCTTTTGAGAGATAAAAGTGCAGGTCAGACATTGGACAATAGCAATTAGGTAATGCTTTGACTGGACACAAGAATTCTGAGATAAACTGCAACTTCTTTTGAGACTGAATTCTAAGATGAACAGTTTATTTGGAAGCTGACAATCCCATACATAGACAGATTCTCTGGACTGAATTATCCTAGCACACTAGGAAAAACAAAACTTTTTTTCCTCTGCCCCCTGCCCCAATGGAGTTGAGTTTCTGTGGGCAGCAGCTGCCAGCAGGACTGACAGATTGAGCCTCTCATCTCTCCAGTGGAACCTTGCTCATGTCAAAGCGTGACTCTGATTCCCTCTCTCTCTCTTTCTGTTTTCCTTTTCCTGATCCTTAAGGAAGCCCTCGCTCTTGTTTAACTACAGATGTGACTCTCTGAAATCTGTCTTGTTTCTAGCTGTTGTCGTGGTTAGACTGGGCTGCTGATTGGTATTGAAAGGACAAAACCATTAAGGCTGAAGGGTTGGGTTTCTGACACAGATTTGCACTCTTTGTTGGGGACAAAAGGGCAGTAACAAGCTGTTTTCTACTGATTTAGGGCTGTGATTACAAGGCCTCTTCTGGAAAGATTCCCAATGGAAGTGGCTACCCTCTACCAAAGGCGGCAGGCAAATCACAAAGAGCAGAAACAAATTCAACTCAGTGTAACGGCTCTTCTCTCCAATCTTGTGGAACAGACAACAGAATCAAGGTAAGAGATGCACAGAATGTTTGTTTCTGATTAGCAGCTATCTGTTCCCAAAAGAGTAGGCCTGTTTTCTGCTTCTGTCTCTAAACCTGCATTTTCCATTGTTCCTTTTTGCTATGTATCATCTGACTCTTACAGTGAACCCATTCTGGGAACTAAAAAGGCTAAGATTTGTTTGTTTGTTTATTTTTCGCCTATAGGTTTCTCTCCTAATTTAGCTTCTTAAATCAGCTTTCCATGTAAACTTGTAGTGCTGGAGTAAGGTAGATCAACAAGCTCGTAGGATTAGATATGAAGAATGGAAAAGGAGGACTGTGTCATTGGGCAGACTAATATTTAGACTGGCTTTGCTTTCAGTTTTGTTACTGTCTTTTCACTGTGGAAAACTCCAGCTGAACTGTACAAACGAGAGTAAAGGACAAGTTTGGCTGAGAGAAGATCTGTATTTTGAATTTGAAAACCCATAAGAATATGAAAGTTTGTAGGAAGGTGACTATGAACAAAAAGTGTGGTTGCACAGGCTAGCCCAAAACTGGATGTGTGGTCAGTCAGAAGCTCTTTTTGGTTTTCCTATTTTAAGTTAGTTTTGCTATAACTTCATGTTTCTTTTAACACTATATGAAAGATGCACTGTGATCACTGGGTGTTTCAGTACCCATCACATTCATGTAATTGGTACACGACACTGCACGATCTGCAAGGTGCTGCACTGGTGTTTCTGGAGGTGATAGCAATGCAGAAGTCAGTATTTTTGGATTATGAAACACTGTGCCATAACTTTAGAAAGTTGTATACCAGGAGCTGTGGACTTTGAGTTCACCACTGATTTCAAGTAGAAATGATGAGGGACACAAATGTTAAGGGACACAAATGTTCAGGGCCTTTTCCTATTGTACGAAACAATGATGTGATTAATGCTAATTCATATGGCAAAACTGAGAAACTTGAGCTAAGTTTTAATTTGTCTTATTACAAGCAGATATTAAGCAGTAGGTTAAGAAAGAATGCAGATCACGCTTGCAAGACAGGAACAGGACAGTTTCCAGGAAGTCAATGCCATGGAAAAAAGTACAGGAATAATGATAGGAAGTTGTTTGAATGCGCTCCTTCTATTATGATACAGTCAGGAGGATGAGTAGGTGAGTAGGAAATAGTATGTAAGACAAAAAGCAAGTGTTCCTGCCCATGTAGCTATAGACTTGACTTTCTACATAGCAGCATACCTGAATTTTTCTGTAGCATTATTCATTATATTCAAAATGGTACCAGAAAGTTGCAGTGTGATCAGGAAATACCTGAAATAATCAATTCCAGTTTGCACAAAGTGTTTTAGCCTTTAATTTTATAGATGTGATAAATCAGGGCTGACTTAAAGTATACTGATAGCCGTGATAGAGACATGACTGTTTGAAGAGCTAGAGCTGTACTGAATAGGAACAGATTAGAAATTGAAGGCAGCTCTGTAACAGAGAGTAACTTGACAGTGCACCAGTTTACCTAGAGATATAGAATCTGTCGCTTGTGGGTTTTTAAGCTGTGCTTTAAAATGTTTTCTACAAAATATGCTGTAGCTTAAGAAACAGTGGGCTTTGTGTGGAAATGAAAGAAGGCTCTTCCAGCTGCATTATGTAGGTCTAGATGATTGTAGAGAGGTTTTCTAACTTTGAAATCCTAATATATCTGTTTTCAGTCTTGCAGACTGTTCTCAATACACGTGAAATGGAAGATAATGAGTTAAGGGGTAGTTTTAAATTCCTAACTTCTGGGTACATAATCTTAATATTTTAATAGCCTTTTTGGTGGGAAGAAATTACTAAAACTACCAAGGTACACCTGCTTTGTTACCTTATTTAGTTAGGAAACGATGTAAGCAGTCATTCCATCTGTCTGTACATCTGTTCTGCCTTTCATTTTTCAGTAACTTCTGAATCCATAATTAAGCTTACCCAAGTTAAAGAGGGGTGCTTGTCTCAAGGGTAATCAGATTTCAAGTTCTATAAAAATCAGCATGGTGCTAGAGGAGGAATGTATTCTAGCGTGCTGTTGAAAACTCTGGTAGAAATTAAATGTTGCATGCTGCTTGGCAGATCTGCCTGGTTGGCAAATCAGCAGGTGAGTTTCATTGCCCTTGTTTGGTGGGGAGGTGGCTGTCATGGACTACACTGGGTGAAAAGGAACATACAGATAAAGTCTTGCTGGAAGCAAGCAAGGTAGGTGCCTTCAAAGAAAAAAATCCATAGGAAACCTTTTTTTTGGATCTACTATGCATTCAGTATTGCTTATTTTCAAAAAAACAAAAAGGCAAAGGTACAATTTAAAGAAAAAGCACCCTTCAGGGCTTCAGTAATTAGTATGCTGCAATTGGTTATCCTCTTTGAGTGCAAAGAATGCCTCCTACCTGCAGTATTTAAGCTAGGACAAGTTGTTACAGCAGCAGCAAGAGAGTAAGAGTTCTAATATACCTGGCATCCTTTGCTCACAAATATAGATTGCTTCTACTCTAAATTGCAGCCTTTATTCATTCAAAGAATAAAAACAGTGTAGAGTACGTTTTCCTTGCTTATCATTCACTTTCCCTGTAGCAGGGATCCTTGCAGATTTGTAGAAGTATGTTTTATTGCACAGTGACATTAATTCTGACTCATGAACATAAACACTTCATCTTGCCGCGCTCTTTATGAGCGATGAGAACATCCTATTAGATATTTGCAGAATGTAAATGTCAGAGGCTCATAACTGTCAAATCAACCCAATTTATTTCTGAACACTCCAAGGCTTTGCTTCTTTCAATGTCAGCTTTTACCCAAGCTGCTGACAAGCAGAAGTCGTAATGTTTTAATCATGAGGTCTATTTTTTGCCTATACAGTGGTATGGGAAATCATTTTTGTGTAAAACGTCTGTGAATAATTATTACTAGCCCATGGGGAAAATGCAATTGCATAAAATCCCAACATGGGAAGAAGAAATTGTAGGCAGTCATGTTTAACTGAAAATAAGGAATGATAAGAAAAGCTGCTGTGTTTGTGAATCTGTCTGCACGTGTTATTACTTTGTGTTTTCCATACTTAGAAATACACTCAGGGAACCTCTGCATCCATTGTGGAGATGTTACTTAGATCTTGACTTAAACATGATCCTTAGGCAGGCTTTGCTTAATTCCATATTTTGCTTTCATATGCACTTTGAAAAGTGTAAAGCCTTTGAAGATGTTCAGAGATTGTAGTGGAAAGTAGTCTGTAGAAGGGTGATGCTTTTGAGAGAGACTTCACAGAAACCTCCTCCTGAGCTGTGTCATACAGATGGCAGGAAGATTCCCCAAGGGGAGGTGATAGAAGCAGGGAAGAGCAGGAGACTGAAAACCGCCTCTGAAACCCATTGGCATGTTTTTTTCTCCACTAAATTTTGGCACTTTATGGTAAGGTAAGAGCCAGAGGGTCTTTCCTTGGTACTCATTGTTTGCTGCCCTGTATCTGCAGCTAACGTATGCCAGATTCGTTTTTCCAATCCAGAGAGCCTGGATTGATAACAAACTTCAGTGAGCTGCAGTGTCTCAGGACCTACAGACTTCTTAATTGTTAAATCTTATAGAAGGTGGGGAGGAAGCACCATAGCCTGTGAGCAGATCATCTTGGATGGTACCCTCATATCATTTTACATCAGGTATATAATTTTTCTGAAGATGAACATACTTAACATGATGGGGAAGTCTAACATAGAGATGCACTTTTGAGAAAGGAGGCTGGTATGGGCTTTTGATGTTTTGAAGTGTGTATGCATTTGTATACTGATACACATGCTCTCCAGCCTCCCAGCAGGTGTTTTTTGGGGGGACTGTCATCACCTTCTTCTATTTATTCTTTGTTAAGGGAAAGCAAACCCACATGCAGAAGCTTTTTTTAGTACAACATTTCAAGATTTATTTATTTTTAAAAAGCCATTTCAGCAGCATTTGTTCTGTTGCATTGTTGCCAACTTTTGAAGGAGATATTTAACAGCCAGGTATTAAAATACATGACTAGAAGATAGGTCACATTTATAGCCAGTCACCCTTGTAAGATAGTGAAGTGTTAAAAATTGGCTCAATTTGAATTGGATATTTTGACTTAATTGTTTTTCCTTTTTCAGTATTGGGAGCTCCTTTGTCATTTGCATTCTGTCTCCATTACTCCTCCAGTAAGATGACTTTCCTAATCTTGGACAATACTTGCCTACCCCAAAACTGAGTTTATCCTAAGTATTTAATTTGTAATTGAGCACTGATGTAGTTTGTCACCAGAGCTGCCGTGTCCTTGCTGTTGCCACCTGAACGTGACTCTATGTAACCTGTGCCTTATCTGGTGCTTTGTTTTGTCTTATATCTCTTTATCAGGGGCTCTTCCTTCTCTTTGCAGATAAGCGGGTACCTCAATTTGCTGGCCAACACCATTGATAACTTTACACATGGCCTGGCAGTAGCAGCCAGCTTCCTGGTTAGCAGAAAGGTAAGGTTTCTGCCACCAGCTTTATATGGAAATGGAGATGCTTGTTCTCAAGTTTGTATTAAAAAAAACAAAAACAAAACAAAGAGTTGAAGAATCATTTCCTATTTTCTGAAAGTTTCTGAGAAAAAAGGGCAAATGTGACCCTTTGTTACAGATCTCTCCTGCAAACCCCGGCCATGTTTGTCCTTTGTGCAGATGTGTGGGGAGGGGTTAGCACATCTACCCTTGTAAATAAGAATCCTGGAGAAAGGATCTGTGTGCATGCTAGAAGACTCATCTGTCATATCGGAAGGACTGTTTCTAAAACACCTTTTCTCCTCTGCTGTAGGTTGGGTTCCTAACCACGATGGCCATTCTCCTGCATGAAATACCACATGAGGTGAGAGGGCTTTGTATCTTGCCATCAGGGGGGAGCGTTACAAGGGTATTTCATTGCCTAGGTGAGAAAAGCTGAATCTGCGTAGTTTTCTTGTCCCTTTGAAAGCTCTCCTCTGGGAGACTTGAAATGTGGAAAGTTAAAAACAGTCTACAAGTACGTGTCTTGTTAAGGGTATCCTCTGACTGAGAATGTTTGTTTACTGTTGGCTCTTGATTTTTGTAGGTTGGGGATTTTGCGATCTTACTGCGGGCTGGGTTTGACCGCTGGAGTGCAGCCAAGATGCAGCTTTCTACAGCTCTGGGGGGAATTGTAGGAGCCTGCTTTGCAATATGTGCACAGTCACCAAAAGGAGCAGGTAAGGCTTCCCGAGACTTCTGTAGGAGTGTAAGGGGTCAATGGTCTCCATGTATATATCTTCATTCCCTTCTCAGTTCTCTCCTTTGGCTTTGTCTCCATAATAGTGATAGCTTTCTCTACTTGTGCAGCGGAAACTGTAGCCTGGATCCTCCCTTTCACTTCTGGAGGATTTCTGTATATTGCCTTGGTAAATGTTGTGCCTGATCTTCTGGAGGAAAAGAACCCATGGTAAGTGCTTCTTCCTGTTGTACTAAAGCACTTCTGACTGCTATGGAGCAGCATTGTGATGGTTCCCATGCCTGTTCTGGGAGCACATGAATGCCAGCTTTCCAAATCCCATTGACAAGGGTGCTGTTCTAGCTGTTGAACTTACGGGACTACAAAGACTTCACGAAACATGGAAACCTTCCAATGGGCAGTAAGTAGCCCAACCAGCTAAAGCAGGGTGCTGAGAAATATGTCCAGTAAGGTGACTCTTTTCTGTCTGTCTTCTCTTGGCATCTAATGGCTTAGGGGTTGTAAGAAACAGGGCCCCATGTAGGTGTTTGTGTCTGATGACTACACATGAACCTATCCAACCTATCCTTCACATGCTTCTTACACTTCTTTTAGACCCTGTGTATTACTCAGGGCTTTCTGCAGTCTGCCATAGTTTGACTGCACTGCATGAAATGACGCTTCTTATTATTTGTTTTTTAGTCTCTTACTTTATTAATTTTGATTAGATGTGTTGCAGTGTGACTAAACAGTAAGTTTCCTTATCTACACTGTTATGTATAACCTAGAATATGTATTCTAGTATATGCAGCCTTTCTTCATGTCTGTCATTGTAGCTTCTAGGAGCCTGAATGGGGCTATGACAGCTGTACCACAGTAAATCTCCTCTTGGATCTCCTGGCAGAACACTCCCTGAATGCTTCCATATACTTAAGCTGTAATGACAGGCTAATTCCAGTAGTTTGACTAAGAAACCTTCACTAATCTAGTTCATTTTCACTGAAATAAATCCACAAGTGCTCCAAAACAGTGCTGCGGTTGCATCTGAGGAGGCAGGGACCTTTGGTAGAGATATGGTAATTGCCAGCTGGAAGTCTTCTTTTGGGTTGGTAACCTCTTGTGCTGGCACAGATGTTTGCAGAGTATGGAGAGGTAGTAGGTACATAGTCACTTTTAGCATCACCTTAAACTCATGCTTGGTTAAGGAGGGCTAAAATTCATCAGCTTTTTCTTTTAAATTGTGACTGTTTGTTAAGTTGAATGAGGTCCCTAACCCTCCACAATCACTGATTCTCTTGTGAGAAGAAGGGCAGGAGTCTGCACTTGAGTAGCTGAAAGACTGAATCAGCTTAAATTGGTTTTGAAACCTAAAGATGAACCTTGCAGCTGAGAGATCAAACGTGTGCCAGATTATAAACAACATCTTAGTTTGGGGTGCTGGGAAGGAGTCTTCTCAGCTGTGTTAATGGTGTCATGCAACTGCCATGTTCTTTTTATGATAGATTTGGAAGGAAACAGAACAAACCAGTCATGAGCCAGTAGACTGCTGCCTATTGAGACTAGTTGGTCTATGCTGCCTCCTAATATTGCTATTTTTTTCCCCAGGAATTCCCTACAGCAAGTTCTGCTCCTGTGTACAGGCATTACAGTCATGGTGCTACTTGCTCACAACTGACTTCTGCACAGACCTCGTGATGCCTCCCAGAGCCACCACAGAGACTCTGAGATGTTACAAAGCAATAAGGAACACTAGAGTTACTTCCTATGTGTGTGTGTACAGATCTGGCTGCTAGTGTGAGAAGCAGGTGAGAGAGGAGGTCTGGGTGTGTAAGACCTGGCTCTCCCATCCCTGTTCTGCTAAAGTCCCACACATCAGGGCTTCCATTATATTTTTAATGGAGCAAACATTGAGAAGAATGAACTGAACAGATGCTTCACTGAGAGTGGATGATGTTTCATTTGGTTTGTTCTGATGGAACTGCACCTCCCAAGGACTTCTGTGAAAGCAACAAAGGTGGTTCTTGCAGCTGATGAAGAACTTATTCTACCACTTTAAGGGCTGGAGACAGAACAGGGATGGCAAAGCAACAGTAACCCAACAGCTTTAGCCTTGGGTAACTCCTTACCCATGAGGAGTTACAGTGCTAAGAAAACCTGCTTTACAGATAGAGAGGAAAGGCTCCTTGTCAACTTCTCTGGCTTTTCATTGACATCACTTGTTTCTAAAGGTAGTATTAGCTTTGGCAGTCCACTTTGGTCTCTTTTGTACTGATGTTGAAAACAAGCCAAGAACTTGAGGCATTTCAGAATAGGTCACTACAGTTAAATGGCTCAGTTTGGAGATAACTTGCCTTAGCCCTTGCCACTCCAACAGCCAGCACAGCCAGCTTTTTTCTGAAAAATAGTCAGAAATGTTTCTTCTATTGCCAAACTATAAGCTCACCTACATCTGAAAAGAATGCCACGTAGCTTTTGCTACTGGCTTCCCTCTCCTCGTAACCACTATCTGAGCATGGCTCTGAGCCTGCTCTCAAGACCCAGTTCACCCAACCATTTGCCCCATGCCGGTCTCAGAGTCTTCCTTAGATGGAATGGTTAGCATGTTATCTGGCATGCTACTGCAGTCCGGGACTGCCATGGCTAAGGTTTGTCTGCGCAGTTTGGACAGTGATTGAACACAGTACAGACTGGTCAACAGCATATATTCCAGGTTAGTTTTTCCTTTGTTCACTGTAGTATATTTAAGGGCGTGCTATAACCAAATGGTTGATTTCTGGGCTTCATACCTCATAGTGGAGTTAGTCTGCTGGAGATGAACGGATAAGAAATAATACTGCTGGCTCTTTAAGCAAGGGCCTCAGCAGCATGGAATACTGGAGAGAGGGTGAAATGGAAAGGGTGAAACTGCTGGTGGAAAGAATGGGTCTGGAAAAGCTGTGTGGTAAGTAAGGAGAGAAAATGCAATAAGCATGCTTTAAAGTTTTTCTGTTGTACAATGCTTGGGATAAATTTTTTGGCAGTTTTAGGCCAATAAAAATGAATTATATTTCTAGTGCTTTGCCTGAGTTGGCAAAGCTGGCAGGGCTGACCAGGCCCTCATTCTACAGGGATGTGTTAGTACCACAGAGGTGTGCGCAGTTGCCTTCTGCAGAGCTTATCCTCACTTTGCATAAATCTGTTTAGAAACTGGTCTGATTGAACTAGCAGAATCATTGGACACAGAACAGGTGCCACGGTGTAAATTGCACCGATTCAGTGCTGATTTTAAATAGCTTTTGTAAATCAGTAAAATTCAAAGCCTTTGCACAAGGCTTTGCACAAAGCCTTATCGAGAGGGCTCATCCCTTGAGGGGGTTGTTTGGGTCAGAGCAGTGAGACAGGTTTGCTGCCCACAGCAGAGGCATTTACTTCCCTGAGAGATTCCTAAACTGTAGACACAGTTATTTTCTTATGACAGTTCCTGTCCTACTTTTCAGAGAAAGCTGGAGAACTTATGCTTGCAGCTCTCTCTGCCCAGGAACTGCTATCTAAAATTTTGTCAACGTTCCTTACTCTAGGCTCACGAAATAACTAGTTTCACAAGGAGGGAAGCTTAGTGCAATTATTATTATTATTTTCCTTAAAAGTTGCTATTTTTTGCCAGCTTATCCCTCTGTCATTCAGTTGTTTGAAGTCTGAATGTAGCATCCACTTTTCCTGGGATAAGGATTAATCTGATTATTCTGCAGGAACTGGGGGACTATACTAATCCCCTAGTTCTGGTTTTGTAGTCTCCCCCACTCTCCCTGGGGGCTGAAGCTAGGCAGACCCTGTAGTAGAAGGGCTCTGGAGGAAGAGTTTGCAGAGAAAGATGTGACTGCTGTTTCCCAAGATGTCTTTCTTAAAATTAGAATGGCATTTAATTTAAGTTGAAGGATTGCCAGGTGAGTGCCTGTGAGTTGGCGTTATTGCATCAGCACTGAGTCTTGCCAAGACTAAACCACAGTCAGGAATTTGTGCTCAGCATTCAGGAATGTCAAGTGGTTGATGCTGAAGAAAGAACTTCTGAGTTGTTTTCCTTGGCTGATACCAGAGGCCTGAGAGTCTGTAGTTCTTGGGAAGACCCCTGTAGGAGGTAGCAGAGGGCTTATGGCAGGGGCTGGTTAGTTTTCCTCTATGTGCAATGTCAGCCCTGGGGCTAAGGATGCAGAGCCTTGGGAGGAGATAGAGCATCACTCCACCACATTTGTCACTTTTGGAAATGCAGAGAGACTAGTATTTTCTAAGCTTTATTTTTTCAGCTGCTCTTATGCATTTTCCCCCTTCATCTGTATTGGTTTGCTCTGCATGGAGACAATAGAGATGAAATAAATGGTTTTCAATGTGGATTTGTGTTTTTTGTTGGAATTCAAATTATACATTCAAATTTCATTTGTATTGGAAATGTATCTCTGGGTTAGTCTAAACAAGTCTGGACTGTTTTCTTCTCTGACTTTCACAACAGAAGGGAAAGTTTCTAACCCAGTTTGCTGTCCTTGCTGCCATTGCACTTTGGGTTAGGAATGAAGTGGTCTGATCATATTTCTTGGTTGCCAGTCTCGGTCCTCTGGAACGTGTCACCAGGTGAGTTACTCCTCTTGGAGAGGAGAATTTGCATAGTAACTGAGTATCCAGAGAGTTCTGCAAATAGGCCTTTTTGTGATAGTGATTTTTTTCCATCTAAAATCCACAAAGCCCACCTGGTAGTTACATTCTTCAGCACTTGACACAGAGCTGGTTGCTTGCCCTCTGGGACAAAGAGACTTATTCACCATAGATAGGAAGAGCCTGGAGAGGAATAAAGGGATTTTCTTTACTCTTCAAAAACACAAGTTCAAAGCATGTCTCTCCCACTCTTCATTTGAAAGGTTTTCAGGCTGTAAATACTGAATGGTAATAAGTGACTGTCAGCTGAAGACTTCTTTACGAAGAAGGAGAATGATAACCAGGGAGTTGGAAGCAAGTAAACACAAGTAAGAGATGGAGGCCATGACTTGGTGGTATGGGGGCTTTGGCTGAGGCTGTACTTCTGGGCTTTTCTGTCCCTGGCTTCACCGTGCTGCCTTCTTTGGTTGGTTGTGGGTCTGTGCTGTGCACTCCTTCCTCAGTCCTTTCTCCCTCTGAAGGCAGAGCTGCCTAGGTGTCTCCACACACAGTAGCTTTTGCATAATTGCAGCGGTAACAATTGCAACTTGGTGGTGGTTTTGCTGGAGCCCCTTCTGAAACTAGAGCCTGAGGAACTGGTGTGTAGTGGCAAGCTGGAGCAGCGGGCCCAGGTGTGCCTCGTTAGTTCAGCAAATCCAAGTGCAAAGTCTCGCACCTGGGTTGTGGCAATCAGTACGAGCTGGGGCATAAAAGGAGACAGCACGGCCCTGCTGAAAAGGACTTGGGATACTGGTGGATGGCGGGAGGTCCCTTCCAGCTCCAGCGATTCTGTGAGTGTATGATAATTGTGCTGTGGAGTTAGGGAATGCGAATAGCGTGAGGATTCTGAATATTTTCCAGGACAGTTTTGTTGAAAGATCGGCGTTGTTCAGGGCAGTGAGTGTCTGAAGGTAATTTTTCATTCTTGATGTGGAAGGCTTGTAATTTAGCTGGCAGGTGTGAGAAAATCCTTCCGAGAGCAGCCCTATCGGTTCCCTTCATTTTGTCCGCCTTCGGGGCACGACTGTGCAGCCGCACGGACGGTAAAATCCCACCTGTCCAGAACGAGCTGCTGCAGCGCGGCGCGTGGCAGCGCCGTGCGGGTTGGGGCGCCCCGCGCTTCTGCGGGGCGGCGCTGCGGGGAGAGGAGCGGGCTGTGCCTGCGGGGTCCTGCGAGCCCTGCTGTGGGGTCAGCTGTGTGCGGGGTAGCGGGAGCGCAACAAGGAGGGGGGGAACGGGAACTCCTGCGGGTTCTCTGACCGCAGCTTCAGGCCCGATGTGGAAAGGTGACGGTCTAAAACGGGGGCTGAGAGCTGCGGCTGGAGGAACGCTGCCTTTCCCTCACGGCTGGGATTCGGTCCGCTTCCCGCTGCGTAAAATAAGAGCGTCATATTCGGCGCATTCCGTGCAGCGATAACGAAGACGCCGGCTGGCGTTTCGCCGCGCGCTCCCGCGGCGCCGGCCCCGATCCCTGCGCTCTCCTTCCCCCGCCCCTCCCCTCCCCCACCGCTCGCGCCCGCGCTGCCCCGGGGCGCCGCACGCTCTCGGCCGTTGCCCGTCGCCCTGCGCGCGCGGCCTCGCGCCCGCCGTGAGGCGAGGCGAGGCGTCGCGCGAGCGGCCCCGGCCCAGGCGGGGCGCCCGGAGCTCCCGGACGGCCGCGCCCTCGCGGCTCTCGAAGCCCGCACCGAACCGCGCCGCCGCCGGCGAGGGGCTCCGGCCCCGATTCCCTTCCGGGGGCGGCGCGGCGGGCGAGGCCCCGGGCCGTGCTGCGGGAGGAGCGCCCGCCCCCGGCGCGGTAAGATGGCGGCCGCGGCTCAGGCGCTGAGCGGCGCGGGGCTGCTCCTGGCCGCCGCCGCCCTGGCGCTGCTGGCCGTGGCCATCGGCACCGACTCCTGGTACGAGACGGACGCGCGGCGGCACCGCGAGCGCTGCCGCGGCTTCGGCCACAAGCGCAGCGACCCGCCCGGCTCCATGTCGGCGCCCGGCTCGCACCTGCCGCTCCGCGCCCGGCCCCCGCGGGCCCTGCTGCCCGGCCGGCCCCCGGCCCCCGCCCCGGCCGCCGCCACCGCCGCGCTGGACTCGCACTGCGGCCGCCGCTTCAACTCCACCGTGTCGGGGCTCTGGAGGCGCTGCCACCGCGCGGGCTACGAGCCGGACAGCGAGGAGCTCATCCGGAAAGGTGCGGGGCGGGGCGGGGAGAGGTGCTGTCCGCGGTGCTGAGCGCCGCCGCGGGACGGGCGCCGTGCGGGTGCGGCTGCGGGCGGCCCTGCCCTGCTGCCGCGGCCCGCTTTGCGCCTCCCCGTCCGTTCTAAGCGCCGCAGTGCCGGGTGGGACCGCGGCCTCGGGAGCCCCTTCCGTAGGCCGCTGCTGGGCCCGGTGCTCGGGCCGGGGCGTTCTCCTGACCCTGACGTCTTGTCGTTCGGCGCAGAGAAACGTGCGGTCTTGTTTGTGGCAAGGCACAAGGGAGGTGGTGTGGCATGGGGGCCTTGGCGTCGCTGCAGCGGATGAGTGATGGGCAGCCGCCGTTGTGACCGATGTGTGTGTCTGTGTCATGCAGGGCTCCGGGGCTGATGGGAGGGAAAGCTGTGAATCCAATGCTGGTGTGGTACGGCGCAAAGCCAGGTGGTTCGTGGTGTGTGAATGAAATTCCAGGGCTGGATGGAACGATGGTACAAGTCAATAGATGGCTTAGGATAAGAAACACTTAGGCTTATAAAGCTATATAAAGATGGCTTATAAATCAGGCTTAGGATAAGAAATGCTGTACGTGATTAATGGCAAATAACAGGAGCTACTGTTCCAGCAGGTACCTGCTAGCATGGGGAGAGTAGGAGCTGGGAGAAGTGCTTCCACTGAAGCACAAAATGGAAATGCTATCTTAAGAAAACATGAGCAGTTCTTCAGTGGCTTCCAACTGTGACGCCAACCCAGCGCAGCAGAGGAGGAATAGACTGGCACTGTGCAGCACAGCTTGTCATTGTCCGTTCTTTCCAGTGCACAGCGGTGACTGGTACTTCTAGAAACCCTATTGCAGGCCTATGTCCAGCCTGCAGCCCAGCACAGCTCACGATGCAGCCCAGCCTCTGCCCTGTGCCAGTGGCTCTGCCCTGCTAAGTGGTCCGGCCCTTGGCGTGCAGCTGTCACTCAGCACCAAGCAAACTTCAGTGTACTATTAATCCTATCTGGGCTGAAAGCAAGACATGGGGCACAGCGCAGTGCGAAGCTGAAATTATGACTAATAATTTTATGCATTTTGATGCATTGCTAAACACAGTCCTGTGGAAAGTAAAAAAAATATGCAGCTGTGCTTTCCATTATGATAAAGGAATCTGAGAACTGGTTTTGAGATTGCGGAAAAAAAAAATTACAATTTTTTTTGGTGTATTTATAACTCCATTTCCAGTCAGCGTAAATTCACAACCCATAAAATTTTAAATGGAAGGTACAGATTTGCAATCAGATACTCGACTCAAAAATGTGATCGTGCCTCTCTCCTGGACTTCTGTAGGCCATACCTTAGCAGAGAGAAATACCCCTCGCTTCACAGTCGTGTCCTCACTCCTTGGTATTACGTACGCTTGTAAACAACTGTTTTCAAGGATGAAGCACAGGAAAAATATAATCTCATGAAAAGTATTTTTTGAGAACCTGGAAAACTCCCTAAGAGTTGCAGCCACTGCAGTCAGATTAGCCTGACGTGTTCGTTTCACAAAAACAAGGTAATGTCCCACTGGTTTTACAGTTTTGTTGCTGTCCTTTTTTTTTCTTTTTCTTTTTTTTTTTTTTTTTTTTAGGTTTTAATAAAAAATATTAAAAATTAAAATGTTTTGTTACTTACATATAACATAGTTAACCTATATTTATTATGAGGGCTGCTCCAGAAGTAATGCCTCCCATTTTATTTTATTGGGCCACAACATCAGAGCTGCATGTTGGCAGTGCGGCAGTAGAGGTTGAACCTTCCAGCCAGTATTCTGTTACATTTTGTTGCTGTGTGACAGCTGGCAGCGGAGGGGCAGCCTGACAGAATGCAGTCTGACATGAAAGCAAAGGTGTGTGATTGGATTCCTCCATGAGGACAACGTTTCACCCAGTGACATTCATTGATGCTTGCTGTTGACTGTTTCTGGAGACCAAACAGCGGATGTGAGCGCAGTGAGGCAGTGGGTGGTGCATTTCAGTAGTGGTGACAGCAACAGTGGGTCACATCTGCAGGTGTGGATTTTTATGAGCGTGGCATGCAGGCTTCTGTTCTGGCAGAAATGCTGAGCTAATAGTGGTGACTATTAAAAAACAGAGTTTTGTAGCTTGGAACTTGCTCTGTCAACCGGTGTTACCGTGCTTGTTGTATCTGTTGTCGTTTCCATGAAGTAAGTAGCAGGCATTACTTTTGGAGCAGCCTACATATACATGGCCCAGGCGAGCCAAAGTGTTGGATGCCCGTGCCCTAGTGCTGTGTGATCACCTGCTTCCTCTATTCAATTTCTTAGCATCAATTTTAAGCATTTTCATTTCCATGTTGATCTCGTTTCGCTAAAGGGCAGCTTATTAATTTCATTCTCTCAGTTGTCCCTGTAATGTAAATGTTTTTCTGCTTCACAGCAAACCAAATGCTTCCAGCTCCCATTGGAATGAAGAAAGGAGGGTAAGGGATGGGGAGGACACCATTTTGGTTGGTCCTCAGTACTTTTGGTTTTGAGGGATTTTCCCTACTCTGCTGCAGTCAGACTGAAAGGGCAGAGGCTGCGTTCTGCAGGTGTGTGGGTGGGGACTGATCTGCCTTTAGGTCTGGTGTGTTCAACTGGGAGGGCTCTGAATGCAAAAGGTTTTCCTTCTACTTTCTTTTTTTCTCCAGCTGTGCTGGTAATAGACATGGCCTCTCCCTGCACACCTCACTTCCCTTCTATTCTTTGCCTGCGTTGCTACTTTAAAGATTTATATTAGTATTCCAGTATAGAGGGAAAATTATTAATAATAGTTCTTATGGAGTTGGTTCTTTAAATAGATATGAGACTCTTCTTATCCCTTCCCCTGACCTGCTTTACTAGCAGCCTTTCCTTCTTCTGGCTGTCCTTCTTTTCTGGGGCAGCTCTTATTAAGCAGCCTTTTCCAGCTGGTGCTCAGGTGTGGCTGCTGCTGTTGGTTCAGGAGCGCTGCTGGATCTGCACCTTCCAAACAAATGGGCTTTTTTCCCAAGAGCGAGCTGAAGCTCTCTGCTCTGCACCTCTGCAGTCCTACTTTCTCTTTGATTAGCTGTAAGGTTGCAGCTCGCTCTCTGGTGATGTGTGGTGCTGCCTTCTATTCCTGGAACTGGAGATTTTTGTAGGCTTGGCAGTGGCAGGGATAAACAAACAATTTTGTGAGAGTCCAGTGGTAATTTTGATGAAGGCTTATACTCTTCGTTGTCTAATACTTCTGGAATAAGGTTTCTTTTCCTTTCTGGGTATCTCTTGAGTCTGGAATAAACTACTTAAATCCATTTAAAAGTTAATAAGCGCGCTTACCCGTTTAGATAACTCCATGGATTTCTAGCCCAGTGCTGATGTACTGCCAGGAATGCAAAGCAAGTTCTGTGAAAAGTTTAAAACTTATGCATTTTAGCTGGTAATATAAAGGCATGCATACTTTTATATATGTATCTATCTTTGCTTTATATTTGTAAAGGGGAAAAGCAGGAGTTACTACTACACAGAGTTTCCAGCTTTGGATTCTGATCCTTCAGTCTTTGCACGTTTCAACTTTCAGTAGATGTGTGAAGGAGATGGGCTGTGCCAAAGGGTCAGATACCTGCGTGCCTGAGCCTTGTTTTTGCCTGAAGTTAGAAACGGAGAAAAAGAAATAAGAAGGGACAGGGCTAGAAGCAAAGAAGCTGCGAGGTGACCTCACTGCAGCCTTTCAGTACCTAAAGGGAGCCTACGAATAGGAGGGGAATCAACTCTTTGGAGGGGTTGATAACTGCAGGATGAGGGGGAAATGGTTTTAAGTTGAGGGAGGTGAGATTTAGGTTGGATGTCAGGGGGAAATTCTTTACAGAGAGAGTGGTGAGGTGCTGGAACAGGCTGCCCAGAGAGGTTGTGGATGCCCTGTCCCTGGAGGTGTTCAAAGCCAGATTGGATGGGGCCCTGGGCAGCCTGGTCTAGCATTAAATGGGGAGGTTGGTGGCCCTGCATGTGGCAGGGGATTGGAGATTCATGATCCTTGAGGTCCCTTCCAACCCTGGCCATTCTGTGAGTTAAAAAAACACAGAGCAAAACTGGGAGGTGGGAAGTGTTTAAATCTAGGAGGGGAGAAATGTGTGGGTGTTTCTTTAAAATGCAAAGGAACAAATAGTGGACAGGTGGGAAATAGAGGTTAGCAATTAGTAGCAGACAACAGCCCAGGAGCTGCCAGGGGGCAGAGAAGCCAGGTGTGTGCAGGGGGCACAGTGAGTATGGAAACCTGAGTACAGAGTGGTGGTGTGCAGGGCCTGTGCTGTGTGGGTCACATGTGGGTACTGCAACA